ATTTGAAAATAGAATTTTAAATTGTTCACAAATCTAAAAATAGTTGATGAAAAAATAAGAACGAAGAAAAAAAAGAAAAAAAAAGCGAAAAAGGCTATAAAAACTCATCACAAGAAACCACTAAGACTGATCCAAAAAAGAATGTTGAATCGCACTCACAACTCCACACTAGAGAGTAGGTGTTCCTTACCACTTGAGCCGCTGAGTGTTAGTGATTAATAGGCCACACGAACATTAAAGAACTAATAGAGCGACAGATCCAAAGAAATTGAAAATTTTCGACCATTCCTTGGAAAATTGTGATCACCTTTCTCTTTTGAAAAATGAACGTAGTTTAAATTATGAACTAATTCCAAATTTTGAGTAAAATTGCAAATTTCAATTTAATAAAAAACTTAAAAAACTAGAAAATATCGATTTGTTTTTCAAATATATGAGCATTTCTTGAAATTGTGAACAAATCTTAAACGAGAACATTTTTTAACCATGAACAACATTTGAAAACACACCAGTTTTTGAATATGTCATTATTTAAAAACGAGAATATATTTTGAAATGTAATTGTCTTTGAAAATATGAACATTTTTTAAATTGAGTGACTATTTTTTGAATTATAAAAAAATTTCTATGAAATCACGGACATTTTTTGATATTTTCGAGAAAAAAAAGGAAAAAGGAAAAAATAGCAGAAGATGAGCAAGAAAAACTTGAGCAAATTTGAAAAAACATTAAAATTTTCTAAAACATTAACAATTTTTAAAAAAACATGACATTTTTTAAAATTATGCACATTTATTTGAAACATGATTTTTTAAAATATGTAAACAATTTTTTAATCTGGAACAAATTTTGGAATTTCGATTTTTTTTAAACATTTTAAATAAATATCAGAATTATGAAAAATACACCATGTATTAATGAAAGAAAAAGGGAAGGAAAATGAATGAAAAAAACCGGATAGGAAAAACCAAAAAAACATGAAAGAACCAGACAAGAAAAATAAAAAACAACAGAAAAAATGAACAGAAAAAACGAACTAGTGAACGGCAGCACGCGCCGCCACATACTGAGTCGGCCCACCCATGGGCGAAGCTAGTTATGTTTGCCGCCCGATCTGCCGGATTTACGGGTCTTTTTACTACAAAAGAAAAGTGACAGTAAATGTTGTTGGGGCATAGCAGATTGATCTACGTAATGTTACAAAGTGTAAAACGAGATGAAGGAAGCAACTAGTTGAAGAGCGCATCTTTGGAAGCTTCCAAACGATCACTTGGACTTGGCGCACTCTCAGCCGCCGCTACATGTCGCGCTCTGGGCGTTCCCTTCGGATTTGTCTTCGCATGCGTTTTCAGCTTTTCAGACGGTTTTTTCTGAATTTTTTTTGTCTTTTTGTTTTTCCATCGGTCTTTCTTAGCTTTTGAACGAAACAAAATGAAAATTATTATTTTTGCGAAAAAACATGTTTTTTTTCACAAGAGGCATGGCCGTGCCTATCGAAAAAGGGAAAAACCGCATTTTCTTTTTTTTTCTTTTTCGTGAGAGGCGCAGTCATGCTGCTCGAAAAACAAGAACAACATGTTTCTTTCCTTATGTGAGAGGCACGGATTTGCTTTCACGGGGGATACGACCGTGCCTATTGGAAACGAGAAAAATATTTTCTTTTTTCTTTCCCTTCCGCGAGGCACGAATTTGATTCCATGAGAGGCACGACCATGCCTCTTTTGCAAAGGTAAAAAAACATGCTCGCACTTCGTGTTTTTTGTTCGGTTTTTTCGTGAAAAAAAAGTTCGTCAAAACCTATAAACACGGGATCTAATTTTGAAGATCTTGACGCGAGGAATCCATGGGTGAAAATGGTTTGAGATTTGGACGCGCGGTTTAAGAGATAAAATGTTTTGAATATCTACGAAAAAAGGATCTTTGAGGAGGTGGGAGTGATCTTTAAAAGAAGTACTCTTCAATTAGTGATCTTGCGAGATGAAGCACAAAAACAAAAAGGACGTTTGGTTCAAAATGGGCCCACTTCTAACCCATGACCACAAATTCCCTCTCATGCGAGCCACAACCGTAGTGACCCCACGTTATATGAATATCTATTCACCTTGTGTGCCATTGTTGCCGCCAGGACATCCCAGCACAACCGCCACACCACTCCACCGTCGTCGCCCGAATAGCCCAGCACAACCGCCACACTACTCTACCGCTGCTGAGGAGGAAGAGGAGTGTCGAGCGAAGAGGAAGACCATTATGGCGTCGGACACGATGGAGATCCTGGAGGAGGACACCGTGAAGGTGTCAGCGGAGATGATCATGGTGACGGGGCCGCTTGGAATGCCGACCCGCAACTTCAAAGCACTTACAAATGGGCAAGATTGAAATTGAACTGTTGAAGTAGCTCCAGACATCGGGAGCTACAACGGAGATCGGCAATTCCACCAAGTATACCGACAAGGCATATCTAGGCAGGCAGATGTTAACGCGGGCATCCTGGTCGCATTAACATAACGCTAGACCAAGACGACCTTGGTGACATTAACATATATTCCGAAGAAGAAGAAGAAGAAGAAGAAGAGTAACTGATGTTGGGCCGACGCAGATTGATTCACGCACATGCTGTCAAGTGTCGTAAACGGGATGGAAAAAAAAAGAGGAGTATTGGGCCAAACCAGGGCCACCCCCATTCCCTCTCCTCTCTGCCACAGCCCACAGCCCACGGACAGAAAACCCTAGCGACGCCAGCTATAAAAGATCTCACCTTGCCAGACGCGCCGCCGCCGCCGCCGTCCGCACAGCACAGCCCAGCACCGCCGCCGCACCACCACTCTACCGCCGTCGCCGAGGAGGAGGAAGAAGCAGCGTCGGGCGAAGATGAAGACGATCCTTGCGTCGGAGACGATGGAGATCCCGGAGGAGGTGACAGTGAAGGTGTCGGCGAAGATGATCTCGGTGACGGGGCCGCGCGGGACACTGACCCGCAACTTCAAGCACCTCAACCTCGACTTCCAGCTGCAGGAAGGCGGGCGGAAGCTCAAGGTGGACGCCTGGTTCGGCACCCGCAAGACCATGGCCGCCATCCGCACCGCCATCTCCCACGTCCAGAACCTCATCACCGGCGTCACCAAGGGCTTCCGCTACAAGATGCGCTTCGTCTACGCCCACTTCCCCATCAACGCCTCCATCACCGCCGCCAACCGCGGCATCGAGATCAGGAACTTCCTCGGCGAAAAGAAGGTAAATTTCTTTTTTTTTTCCTTTTTGGCCAAACAGTCAGATCGGCGAGCTCGATTTAGTGCTTCTCTGATGTTCTCAGCTTTTCCTGTGCATAGAAAATGTGTTCTTCTGGTTTAGCTGCGGCAGAAACATTACTGAGTGGACTAGTTTATACGCAGTCAAATCTCTGTTCATGAACCATTCTGTATATGTGATGTGCATGTAGCTTTCTTCTGCCCATCAATCCACCTCTGTGAGTAATTGGAATCATGTAGGTATATGAATGAATGCAATTTGTTCACCTTGGATTGGGATCATTGATGCCAATAATGCAGCAGTTCTGTCAAGCTTATTTGAGATGTTTGATCCCTCAATGCCAATGTTCTCAGAACAGGGGTCAGTAGCATTGTCTACTCTAGTCTTTGTTGGGTGATTGACCCATAGTGCTGCCTAAGACAAACTTGAGTGTGCTATGCCACATTTGACATTGAACGTTTGTGATGTCCGGTTTGGCTTTTATCTCTTGTGACACTACTACATATGTGCATTGTTCAAATCATGTATGAAATGGTACTGATGTTCTTGCTTTCCTTGAACAGGTAAGGAAAGTCGACATGCTTGACGGTGTGACGATCCTGCGGTCCGAGAAGGTCAAGGATGAGATCGTCCTTGATGGCAATGACATTGAGCTCGTCTCTCGCTCTGCTGCCTTGATCAACCAGGTTAGAGCCCTTGCCTATGTGCATCTATACTGTAAACTCGCATATTCGTTTGACTGTGAACCCTATTCTGTATGAGATATTGTATATGCATCTCGAGAATTCTTGCTGTATTATAGTTTTAGATGAACCTGCCTGTTTAGTTCTGTCGATGCGATTTGTTTCACTGGAACACCCACTAGTATTTAAGTGAAACATTTGCCTGTATTGTCTGAATGAATGAACTATTACTTGGTACTCCTACAAGTGTTGCAGTCGCAGCATGTGCTGTATCTTGATATTGAAGTGACGATCATCTCTATGCTAACCATTGATGTTCTGTTTTTTGCTCGAACCAGAAATGCCATGTGAAGAACAAAGACATCAGGAAGTTCTTGGACGGTATCTACGTCAGCGACAAGGGCGCCATCAAGGAAGAGTAGTGTTGTAGTGACCTATCTGCCGCAACCCCTTTGTAGCTTTTAACAGAAACTGCCTTATAGGGTGGGTGTTTTTTTTTTGAGTGAAGAATCACATGTGTTGGTTGCAATCTGTACTGGATCGATCAGGGGTGTCATGTAACTGGAGAGGCTTGTTCCTTGGAGATGTGTTTGTTTCGCAGGTTGATAATACCTCTTGTTATCTGCTGCTGTCTTTTGTTTGCTTGAGCCTTGTTCGCTACTTTGCCTGCTGTTACTGGTGCTACACCTACACTTGCCAATGGAGAAGAACAAGTGATTGACGTGTCCTCTGACTGTAAAAAAAATCAGGGCGAGGCACTTGCAGTTTCGTCCCTACTCAGCCAAGTTTTGTATCTATGTAGTTTCTAAAATAGAAATGTTTGTGTATGACTACTCGTTTTTCCTCCATTGCTTCTTCTTCCCTTGTCTCAGCCACCTCCATGACTCCACCCCACGCACCTCTCCCTTGACACGGCCTGACAACGCAGGTGCTACATGCGGCCATGAGGTTTGCTGGAAGCAGTGGGGAGATGCTGGAACCAATGTCGCTGGAAGCTGCATACGTTGCCTGGGGGATGTTGGAACCTGTGTCGCCGAAAGCTACAACCAGAACTGCTCAAACCAGTAGGTAAAAATGCTGGAACCAACTACTACCGGAACTGCATTCACAAGCAATGGTGCGATGGCAGCGACCTTTTTGCTGCAATTGTCGCTCTTTTTTGCTACTACCGGCGAGGGAATTTGCTACACCCTTCATGGCGGAGCTGCATAGTGCTATGACCTGGCAGCCGATTTTCTTTGCTGGAACTGGTTACTAGCAGAGCTGCAACCACGCGATGCGGGTGCTGGAACCGTTGCCTAGGAAAGCTGGAAGCGGTGTTGAGATGACGACGGATGCTGCTGCTCCTGCCTCGATGAGCTGCAACCGGCATCAACAAAAGCTAAATCCACCTCTTTGTTTTGCTGCGATGGTCATAGTGGGTGAAGCAGTGGAGTCCAGGAGATGACGGCGAGGGACGCCACCCGCACATCGAGCGTTGTCGGCGAGACGACGGGGCAGCGCAACCCAATGCTGCAACAATGGGGTCCGTCGTGCGCTACAACCACGCCGACCGGTGCTAGGAACGGCGCTACTGGAGCAGCGTCCATGGCCAGGAGATGCAAGACGAGGCGGCCATGGCAAGGGACGCGAACGGCGAACCAATGGCAAGGTTGCAAGCAAACCAACAACGACGAGGTGCAATCCATGGCTGTGAGCGGGGCGGTCGACGGCGAGCGTCTCATGTTCTGAGAGAAAGACGACACAAGGGGAAGGGGATGAAGCAAAGGGCTCGCGTGCAGATCGGATGGCCCTGGCTGCTGCATCGGGCAGCTCGGGTGCGACCAGCCCAACTATTGGGCCGGCCGGCCAGCGCCCTTTCTACAATGCTTTTCATTGGATGGTGATGGAACATATAGAGCTGGTTACTAAAATTACAATCTATCAAAATAGGAAGTTCTAGGATGTATAAAGTGCAAGAAGTAGCTTGCCCTCAAACAAGTTCAGCCGTGGCTTGGTTTCAAATTTTCGACTTCCTCCGACAATTACTACAGGTGGTTACAAATTTCCAGCCACCTCGACAAGCCAAATAAATGGTACCGCTTCATTATGTTTGATACGTTTATACAATGTCATGCCATGCCATAAAACAGAGTAATAATATCACTATTTATCATAAAGGAGAAGTAAATTGTGATGGATGGATACCTTTATAATTCAACAATAGTGCGATTGCGTGCGGCGTAAAACTGTACTAGTGGCCCTTAAGTATGTACACGCATAGAGAGCATAAAGTTAAATTTCTCGCTTCTTCAGTTTAACCATGAGCCCATTCTTCATCTCCAGTATACAAGACGGCTTGGGTTGAATGCTCTGCCCTTCCACTGCTTGCACATCGAAGTTCCACACCATTGTGGCGACGACAGTCTTCATCTGCATAATAGCGATGTCCTTTCCGAGGCACATTCTCGGGCCTGAGTTAAAGGCTAAAAACTTGTGAGATGGTACATACTTCAGGTTGTTGCCATCATCCGAGAGCCACCTATCTGGGTTATAGTCGAGGCAGTCTTTACCCCACAAGCCCTCCATTCTACCCATGGAGTGAAGAGAAATAAAGATGGTGTCGCCGGCTTGCACCTGGTGGCCACTTGGCATGATATCATCGCCGAACACCGTCTTGCGCTCGATTGGCGCCGGTGGGTACAACCTGAGAGTCTCGTACAAGGCGGCTCTCAGATACACTAGAGATTTGGTCTCGTCCGGTTCAAAGATCACCATGGCACCTACCCTAGACGCTACTTTGTTTGATGCAATGGGTGAGAGTTCATTGCGGATGATTGGCACGATCTTAGGGTTCTGGGTGAGGTTGTAGAAGAACCATGTAAGGGTAGTTCCAACTGTATCCCTTGCAGCGACCATGTAACCAATCATCATAGCATGGAACAAGTCATCATCAGCATACTCAGGGTCATGGAGGAACGAAGACACAAAATCCACACCATCTTGTTCCTCGTCGTTACCAACATGACATGTGTTGATCTTCCTCCTCTTCATCATCTCCACAACGAACACTCGTAGCACCCTGTGCGCCATGCGAAGCTTTCTCTCAGGGCCGATGTTTAGCTGCTTCATCAACTTCCAGCAAGAAGCCGGCATCACGTGTCGGAGAAAACCCACCTCCATGACTATATCCATGGCGACTGCGGCGTCCATGGGTGGCATGTCCGGGGATAGGAGGCCCGGGTCCACGCTGAAGAGAGCCGTAGCAGCCAGGTCAAACATAAACCTCGACATCATTTCTTGCATGTCGAACGGGGTGCCGGTGCTCGCCATGTGGGTAAATAAAGGGAGCAGGATGTTCTTCACCTTGTCACGGCAACAAGCCGCAATCCTAGCAACGAACCGTGGATTGCTGAGCACGCCCTTGACTTTGGCACGCTGCCTAGGACACGGCTCGCCGTCGATGGTGAAGAGGCTGCCGCCCATGATGTCGAAGATAGCAGCGAACTCCGCGCCCTTGGGGAAATTGGTGTAGTTGGTTGTAAAGATGTGTCGAACGTTCCTAGGGTCGCATGTGACGAAGAATCGCATTCCAGTCCCGGGTGGGCTGTGCGCCCTGAAGTTGTGGCCTGATCCAGCGAAGACCAGGGTGCCATAGTCATGGATGTTGTGGATGTTGGCCACTAAGGAAGGGAACATGTGCAGTATTGGCCAGTTTGTTGGGAGCACTGCTGGGTTCTTTGATCTACAACTAGCCCTGAGGTACAGGTAGAGGGGAACAAGCAGCACAACCACTACGGAGATGAGCAGCTCTTGTGAGAAAAGAATTGGCATTGTTATCACTAGTGTGGGATGCTACTAATAGATTTATCCTTCAATGAACATGCATGGGCGCTGGCTATGGCTTCATATATAGACAAGCTCCCTCCATGGTACAGTACTAGCTCAGTCCATATGTACCGCACAACACTAGCAGCGAGCGATGTGCACACGTATATTTCCCTCCATTGGTATACTCTATTAGCGTCAATATTACTGCACTTCATTGGGTTGGCAATATAACTTGCTTTGGGTTCTAGTCACTTGTCTATGCTGCCTGCCTTTTAAGTCCCTTTCGCGTCTTAATTTCCGTCCTGTCATGGTCACAAACTCATCAAGATTCCTAGCTAGATTCGTTCCACATGGTTGTGAATAGACTGGAAGTTTTCTCGCAAAAAAGAAAAAGAAACGTCGACTAGTTCCGTTGTTCATCTACGCCGCACGTGGAATTAGGAAATGAGTAAAAAAAAACAGTGTGAGTCACACTCAATTAGTTTTAAATGCAATATTTCAACATAAAACGCGAGTGACTTAAAACTCATCGTATGGGTGAGTAGATGAACTGCCTTCGTGGTATCTCAAGTTGATTATCGATTTTGTCAAACGTTTGTGTAACTTTGCTCATGGTTGGTGGTATTTGTATGCCCAAAAGAGAGCATCATCTTTGCGATCTCTTTGGTTTCTTCAAATCCCAGTACTTGTAGTCGTCGCTGGATGGTCTACGGATCTGGATGTAGTTTTTATTATTTCTGGTGTTCGTTGTACTACCATGATTAAAGATGAATAGATTAAAAGTATTCTCGCAAAAAAAGGTTGCAAGATCCCAAATCATGCCACATGGTTGTGGATCCTCCGGGAAATACACACCGTTCTCCCTCTCCGCGCTTGCCGCAAGTTCCTCCTTCCTCCAGCCTATTAGAGTTAGGACAGCGCTAACGCCCACACGTGTGGTAGGAGCCAAATCCGCCCACACGCCCTATAACATACAGACTACGCCATGTCACCGCATGCATGCATGTGGAATTTTTTTGAATTTTCAGTTTTTAAAATGTTTTATCTTTTAAATAAAAAATTCGATTGAAGATCCGTTTTCACCATTAAATCCCTTGCGACGAGATCTTCAAAACTAGATCTCATATCAATATATTTCGACGAATTTTTTTGGGTTAAAAGTTGCCATGTCTATTGCACATGAATTGCCATGATGTTTACACTAAAGTTTCCATGTTATGTTTCAGCTATTTTCTTCTGTATTTAAAAGTAAATTTTGACATATTATAAAACCGAGAATTAAGAAACTAGACTTGCCATGCACCATAAACTAAAATTGTCATGATACATGCACTTAAAATTACCATGGTTCATGTAAAAAAAATATTTTCATGGTCAAAGTACTGGAATTGCCATCATCAAAAACTAAAATTGCCACATGGCAGCTTTAGTTTAAGCACCATGGCAACTACAGTGTAAACATCATGGCAACTTCTGGGCAAAAAAAATCATCGAAACATATCAACATGCGGTCTAGTTTTGAAGATCTCGTCGAGACGGATTTAATGGTGAAAACGGATTTTTAATTCGCTTTTTTATTTAGGAGATAAAACATTTTTAAGCCGGAAACCAATTTTTTTTTGATGATGCCATTTGTTCATACGTAGCAAAATGAGTGATGATGAAGGCGTGTGGGCGATGTGCAAACGTCCATAGGCGTGAGCGTTAGTTTTTCCGTAGAGTTAAACACGACTTGGTATTCCATAGTTGCATGTGTACGGAAGTTACACGTGCAGGTGCAGGCATGTGTGTCCGTGTCCAGCTAGTATTAGCTACCGACTAGGATTGATAGTTCTAGGTAGGTTAATATATATAGGTACGTATCCCCCTGTAATCTGTGCCACAAGTAACGAAAAGCAAAGCAATACAAAGCAAGAGCAAGGCTCGATACGAGTCTTTGGCGATCATGCCACATCACAGATGTGGCCGTTGCCAATCTAGGTTGGCACGAGCCGACTTTCCCCATCAACCACAAGAATGGCGCCGCTGGCCGGCTTCCTTAGGCACAACCTTGATGTCGAGGAGGGGTGTCACCGATGGGCCCATGCCCATAAACGAAGGATACTGCCAATGGCACCGGGAACCTTCCTGTGCACAGGCCTCCGCCCGTGCATCAGAAGACAAACATCCACCGAAGTTGTACATGTTTGACTTTGTCAAAACAACCTCGAACCGGCTTGAGAAAATCTTCGGCCCGATGAATTCAATGTGCCCCGCATGCTAGCCATCGACAATAGGTAGCTATCCTTGGGGTTGCACAGCTTCCTAGACAAAGTCCTGTTCTAGGAGGATGTTTTTTTTGGCTCACTTTCGAAATGTATGATTCATGCGTTGCGCCGTCTGGTGAAGATACTCTAGACGTCGTCTCTCGATGCCCATCACAATCTCATACAGTTTGTCCCACGCAAGGGTTTCTTTCTAATTCATGGTGGAGATGAACCTATCCAATGATCCATTATGCATGTAATAATAGATGCCAGATCTCTTGAACCGTCCAAATAGAAACCAAGAAGAGGGACAACACTGACATGGGATGTTCTTCTGATGCAGATGATCATGTTTACAAATTCCTTTTTGTTTGTGCTCGTGTTATGAATGAACTTGACATCAACATGGTGGCCGTCTGGCAGGGTGCCCTTGTATACCACACATAGTCACCAACCCGTCACAAAAAGATTTGGTTATTTTCTTGAGGTGTGAAAGATTTTTTGATTTTTGTGGGGTGACGCGTGAGAGTTTGTACCTCTTGGATGTTGCCCTATGGTTGTTGTACTACTTTCGTATGATTGATTGGAGCGGAAACTAGTCAATCCCGCCAATCTTTGTAGCAATCATGACGCATGCCATGACCGAAACAATAGCCGTAGCTGTCGAAGTTGAGATAAACGTGTAATTATTTTTTGAACAAGCTGCACATAATTATGTTCTCAAGTAAAAGTGATATACACAAAATAAAAATCATTATGTAATAGTGTGAAAACAAACTATATAAAAGTAAGTTAGAATAAAAACACCAGATGGCTGCCTGTTTTTGTTACAACCAACATATCCTCCTAAATGTTTACTTATCTGGTCAGGAAAACTTATATTGATCAGCAGCTCCCCACTTTTGAACATGTTGGGCACCATCGTCATATGCACTACTACCTCTGTCCTACTTTACTAGGCCCCATTTTTCATGGTTCAACTTTGACCACTAATTTTATCAAGAAAATGTGGTTTACATGTCAAGAAATATATGAATAGTACATATTTAAAACTCTTTCCAAATGTAATAATTGTGTGGCATATTACCCACATTTTGTTGGTCAAAGATCAACCTCAAAATATGAGGATAACGGAGGGAGCACGATATAAGCTAGTTTGCTGTTACTGAACTTATTCTATAAGCAATTGCGGGAAAATAACTATGGAGAAAGATACCTGCGACACTTGTGTGCAACTTGCTACGTTTAGCGGCTGCAACAAGAAAACTCGTGATTAGTTACGATGATTGTCATTGCAAAAATAATAATAATCAATGATTGTCTATGAAATAGAGTATGAATACACTCTCATATTTTAAAATATAATTGATAGTTTTCTGTTGATAGTGGTTGGTTCTACCCTTGCCGCACTTCCAATTCATTCGGTGAATGCATTGGACAACCATGTATAATAGGTAGCTATCCTTGGGGTCGCACAGCTTGCTAGACGAAGTCCTGTTCTAGGAAGTTGTTTTCTGGCTTAATGTCGAAATGCATGATTCATGTGTTGCACCCTTGGTGAAGATAATCTAAACGTCTTTTGATGCCCATCACAATCTAATATAGTTTGTCCGTTGTAAGAGTTTCGAATTTATTGTGTAGATGAACCTATCAAGTGACCCATTAGGCATGTAATCTTAGATGCCAGATCTCTTGACCTGTCCGAACAGAAACTAAGAAAAGGAACAACACTGACATGGCATATCCTTCTGATGTTGATGATCATGTTTGCAAATTCCTTTTTGTTTGGGGTCGTGTTATGAAGGTACTTGGCAATAAAATTGTGGCCATCCGGCAGGGTCTCCTTGTATACCACGCAATAGTCACCAGCCTGTCATAAAAAGATTTGGTTTTCTTGTGGTGTGAGAGTTTTTTGTTTTTTGTGGGGTGAGGTGTGAGAGTTTGCACTCTTGGGAGCCAGCGAGCTGTAGTTACCCAATAGTTCTTGGATGTTGTCCCTACGGTTGTTGTAGTGCTTTCATATGATTGATTTGAGTGGAAACCAGCTAATCCGGCCAATCTTTGTAGCAATCATGACGCATGCCATGACCGAAAGAATAGCTATAGCTGTCTAAATTGAGAAAATGTGTAATTACTTTTTGAACAAGCTGCACATAATTTCCCTCCATTGGTATACTCTATTAGCGTCAATCTTACTGCACTTCATTGGGTTGGCAATATAACTTGCTTTGGGTTCTAGTCGCTTGTCTGTGCTGCCTGCCTTTTAATTCCCTTTCACGTCTTAATTTCCATCCTGTCATGGTCACAAACTCATCAAGATTTCTAGATTCGTTCCACATGGTTATGAATCATGTACCTAGGAACCTTGCCAAGCTAACTAGTTATGTTGTATGTAGAAACTCGACTAGTTCCGTTGTTCATCTACGCCACATGTGGAATTAGGAAATGAGTAAAAAAACAGTGTTGAGTCACACTCAGTTAGTTTAAAATGCAATATTTCAACATAAAATGAGAGTGACTTAAAACTCATCGTATGGGTGAGTAGATGAATTGCCTCCGTGGTATCTCGTGTTTAAGGTAGACTTTCCTTCTGTTCAAGATTGGCAGAGAGTTCTAAGTTTTGGGTTGTGCAGAGTGCCTGGCACAAAGTGCATCCTGGAGTTCCATGGGTGGAAGAGGATAGAGCCACAGGGCAAGCCTCTTACTCAGGTTTGGCTACGTTTCTCTGGGGCACCCTCCAAGCCGTTGCAGAGTGCC